ACATTTACGATGGAGCTTCCCGTAAATGTGTGATTCATTTCATTGGGTTTGAAATGGTGAAGAGCGACACCAAACTGGAAACCAAAGTCTTTAGGAAGGCAACGAACACAACAAACAATTTTCTACAGTTAAATGTTTTTCGAAATCACTTCTTCCTCGTAAATTACGTTTTATATTTGTATTCAACCCACTACTGGAAATTATTTTCTCCCTTCTCAAATGAATGAAAATCCTTGACGGTTTAAAGGTATTATTGCTGTTATTTTCTGAGGAATGTATTACACAGGTTTAGTCTTTATTTAAATCAGAATTTATTATTGAGTGATAATGAGGATTGCTCTGTACCTGCTCCTCTTGTAGTAATTTTCAATACGTTGGATGGCAAACTGTACCCGATTTTATTTTTAGCCAGCACTCTCACATCATAATCTGAATATAGTGTCAAGTCAGCATATAGACATGAAATTGAGTTTAAAACACTGAAAGATGAGCAGTTGATCCAAGATCCTTCAGACCCAGTCCTTTTTATCTGAAGTACATAAGCGGACACTGGATCTCCAAGTGCCTCTCGCATTGGTGGACTCCATGATGCGTTAATGATGTTGCACTGTCCTAGAATTGGCTGATGCAGGGTTGGTTCAAACGGCACATCTGTAAATGCCGTAAATATGAAAATAATTTTCAAGAGCGGCTTGAATGTGGAAAATGTTTGTGACAAGAACGATATGAACTTCTAGCCTTCATTACTTTTAATACTTACAATACTAATAAAGAAATGCATATTAGAGCGATCCTCGCAGTAATGAACGCTACTTAAGCAGTAGTGAAAATAAGGCCTTTATTTGAACCCATGACCTTTGCAAAACCGGTGGAATGGTTAGATTTTCGCCTCTGTGATGCAAAGGGGCTATATCTGTGAGATAGTCTGTAACAAAGAATGATTAACATTGTCTCAACCCAAGGGAAAGAAGTTAAAGGACTGAAAACGTTTAATGAATCGCTTAAGGAAGCTCGAAGGTCTAAAGTAGCCTCTTGATTTACACCATGGTGAAAATTTCACTGAGATGAAGAATTGAGTTTCTTAGTCATGGCAATAATCTAAATACCTTGTGCTGTTCTAGGATCCCACGCCTCGCTGGTTTTACTCCGTCCTAGTTTGTTCCAAGCAAAAATTATGACTTCATATTTCTTGCTGTACTGAAGATGCAGTTCATAACTTGTAATTCCCGTAACGTTTAACTGCCTCCAGTTCTCAATGGTTGGCTCTGTCTCTCTATAGTCAATAGAGTACATGGTGATGCTGCAAAAATGGTGTTCGGGCACAGTCCACTTCACGGTAGCATTTCTTCCAGAAATTGAACAGTTGTCATACAGAATCGTCGGTGAATCAGGTGGACTTGCTATCAAGTTGAAAAAACTGGCTTGATTTAGGAGAGAAAAACACTTACAAACTCCAAGTGCAGCTTTGCTACACAAGTAAAATTACTTTTAAGAGAATGTACAAATTATTACATAAGCTATAGATATTTACAGTCGAACCTCGATTATCCTGACTCGTGGGGACTGGGCTTAATGGTTCGTATGATCGAGAGTCCGAATAATCGAAAATTATGAATATTAATGACCAAAAAAAAAATAGAATACGTTTCATGTACGTAAAACTGACCCTTATACTCAACAGAGAAGATACCAATGACCAGATCTTGTTATCACTATCTGATAGGTATTAACTTAAAACATGTAACCTGCTTATAAAGCGTGTAAGACATTGAAAGGGTAGAAAAGAACGGAATGACTCAACCGTGCAAATAACAATTTATATAAACAATTGCATGTTTTGGAAACATCAGAGTGCCGTATAAGCAATTGCTTTGAGGCTTGAATTCGATCAACTGATATAGATCGACCACCAATAACGATAAATCAATTAAGGGAAAGAATGAAGCACCAAACAAGAACTCTTCCTGTTTTACCCGCAGTAAACTTATTACCTACCCACTATTTCTGTTTTGTATGTCCAGTTCGTCCAGTTACTCGACCCCTTCTGGTTCACCGCTCTTACACGAACATCGTAGTTCTTCCTACTAAGTAAACCATCGAACGAGCAGGAATCATTAACATTTGAAAGGAAATCAGTGCAGTTATGCCACTTCGGACTTTTTTCCTTTCTTATCTGCGCATGGAAACCAGTTATTGGACCTCCACCAGAATCTGCTGATGATGGATTCCACGAGACTTCTACTACACCACATTGCTTCTGTTTGATATCTATTATCGACGGTGTAAACGGGAACCCTAATAACACATTCATGATTAGTTAAATACTAACATGTGATAATTTATTTCTCAATTTATGGGAGTCATAGAGTGCATTGAATATTCTGATCTTTTAATGTTGTGCCTCGATTAAACTAACCTGTACTCAACACAGAATCGGATTCTGGATGAAGTTTTTGTTTATCTTTTCAAATTTATGATGGAGGCACAGGGGGACTTCTTCTTGCATATTCTATTCCTATACATTTCTCTATTTATTGTGAAATATTAGGCAACTCAGCCTTTTGGCTGTTACATGATATTTTAATGAACTATCTATCTATCTATATCGATATATACACGAAGATTTTAGATTCAAACTTTTCTTCATTTGAAAATGATATTACGATGATACCCCAGGGATGATGCGAACATGTCGTATCCGTGTATTCATTTAAAATAACAACAATATGAACAAAAACAACAACAGCTGATTCTGTCTAATGAGAAACTGAATTACATTCGGAGGAACATTTTCAGTGGTGTGTACACCGAATGCAAATATGGCGTCCAAATTGAGTTTCCATTGTTCTGGACTCGCTAGCCTCGTCTTCGCGTGGAAACACAAAGGGATTATTACATGTGTGAGAGGCTAGTGAGTCCAGAACAATGGCAACTCAAATCGGACGCCATATATTTGCGTTAGGTGTATTCCGATGAAATCCGTATCTTTACCTTCTTCTGTGAGTACCGACAACACAGAGCTCTCATTGTAATCGTTATGCCCCCTTTGATTCCAGGCCATAACCATGATTTCGTATTTCTGGGTACAACCCAACCAGAGRCGA